ATTATGAGATACTATCTCATAATTATGAGATAGCTAAGTCATAATTATGACATACAAGTTTTATTTATTTTTTTATCAGGGTGGCGGAAATGGGCTTCCATAACATTTTGTGTGTTCTTTGTTGTTTAATTAAAAAAAAAAACAACCTTTGGTCATGCGTTGACCTGCTTCTGTACAATGACAACGAACGGCTCACGGGTGCAGTGCTGCCACCTAGCGGCAGGGAGGCGAAGTTATTACCTTGCAATAAATAAAAAACGGTCTCAAGAATAGAATAGAATAGAATAGAATAGAATAGAATAGAATAGAATAGAATAGAATAGAATAGAATAGAATAGGTGTTTCATTGAGGAAATTTGCATTGTTGCAAATGGTTTCAATTTCCAAGATTATTTTACAAGTACAACCCAGTTAAACGTATCAGTAAAATCAAAACAAACTAAATAATAAAATTACACATAAAATAACAAACATGCAAAATAAAAATGGAAACAACACGGGTTATACTAAGTATACAAGCTCCATAAGAATCCAGAGATAGGTAGAGCTGCAGCTTGTCCTTCATTATGTCAAAGAGGACATATCTTTACAGTGCTCCTGGGCTTCTGCAAAACAGTCAAAGCTTTCTGTCACCTTAAAGCCAGAATGGTAAAGAATCTCAACAACAATATGAAGTGATGGTAGAAAAAGGAAAGCTAAAATAGATAGAATCTGTCATGCTACAAATTAAATTTATGGTACTGGAATCACTTTGTTGAAGTGTCAACACTGAGCATTAGTAAATTCATAAATCTGTTTGTACATATTTTGTTTCATACATTACTTTGGATGTGTTTGATATAAATCAGATTTAAGGGTTAAAAAAACAAACTTGAAAGAGCAACAAATAAAAAAAAAAAACAACAGATCCTCATTAGCACCACCTGCTGGAGGCCAGTGGAGCTGCAGCCTGCCCGTCCTCTCTGGTCACGTGCCACGCGGCTGCGCACCTCCTCCCAGCCGCTGTTGTTTCATTTGCGCCATTTTGTCCGTTCACTTTGTTGATTGGGTTTTAGCGAGCTGTACTGGAGCCAATCAGAGGGAAACCGGACAGTGAAGCTACGGTAAGGGAGCCGCGATTGAAGGCATTGGTAGTTGTCAGCACGGATTGGTTTGTCACGGACCAACCAAATTACTAACCCGGATAAATGCAAAGAAGTCCACATTTTTGGTTTGATTTCCACCGTGTGTCCCGGACTTTTCGTGGCCTCAGAATAGCTTCTCCTTGTTTCTGTGAAGGCGGAGGAAACATGAGCTCTCTGCCTGGCTAGTATAGAAGCTAAAACGTAGTGAGTGAACAAAAGTCGTAGCTTTTGATAATGTTTCAGTTAAATCGTTAGCAAGTGATTCATAAAATCCATCAAAATGACAGATTTTCGCTCCAAACCTGATCCGAGCATCCATTTTGTTCTTGTATTTTCCTCGCTCTTAGCTAGCTTTGTCAGCTCTTTTTTACCTTAATAAAACACTGAATACAGTGCCCTCTTTTTTTTCATATTGGTCGACAGAAAGCAACAAAATGTCCTATAAACACTGGACGTTTGCTACAAAATTTGAAGTCAAAATTGTAAACAAAAGTAGACAAATATATTAATTTAATGTAACGGAGAAATGAGATATTAAACGTGGACAACGGCGTAAAACGCAATTCTGCCTGACTGGAAGTAAAAGTGTATGAAACATAAACCGATGTGAAGGGGAATATTCACTGAGTGTTAACATAATGTGTGTTTCTTTGTCTCAAGAGGTCAGAAAATAAAAAATTAAAGGCATGGAGCAGTACACCACTGCCACCACTACCACAGGAGAACAGATCGTTGTGCAGACTGCCAATGGACAGATCCAACAGCAGGTGAGTTTCATTCTGACCACCACTGACAACTCTCCCTTTAAAAAAAAAAAACAAAATAATAATAAATACGTGTCTTAACACCGTTTGTTCCATATCAGGTGCAAATCTGTTTATAAATGATAAGAATCAAGATCTTGTTTATTCTGCTGGGAAAGGTTGAACACAGAAATATATTTTAATAAACCTGCTAAGACGTGTATTGTTTAAACCTTTCTCCCTATATCTATGAGCCTGTGACCTACATTGTGGCCACAAGATGATTATTGGAGTTAAGTCCATTCAGGGACTGTTGATTGTTTACATGGACAAGTTTTAATTAGTTTATATATGAATGAATGACATATTTCAGTCACTTACAGTTAGGCCTGAAGTAATTCTTAGCATTATATATTGAATATAAAAGACACAGGTGATGACTGAAGTTGTCTTTGTCCAAAAAGCTTTTATTTTTTAGCTCAACACTCAAAGCTGTCTCACCCTGTGGCTTTACTGCAGAAGGAGCTGCAGTTATGTCATGTTCAAGAACACAGTAAAAACATTTCTCAACATTCACTTAGGGCGTTCAGTGTCATCTCGTAGATACTAGTACTATCAAAAATGAACTGTTTAGATTGAATCATGGAGGTATACTCTGGATTAAACAAACACAAAATAAATAAATAACTATGGGGTACCTTTGAACAGTTAAACACTTTATATACAATCTAAATCCAACAATGTCTACCTCTCAAAAAGAGACATGGTTTAAAATTGTCTTGTGGCCATGCGTTTTTTTTTCATACAATGTCACTGCATGAGTTCCGTAAAACAAATTTAGGTATATGAGATTTAAAAAAAAAAAACGAACTTTCAGAAATTGTTCTTCTTCCAAGTGCAGCAGACACAGCTTAAATCATCTAAGAGATTGCTGCTAAATTTATCTAGATTGGTGATGAAAAAAGAATTTAGGACAGTTTTAGTCTCATAAAGTTGCTCTAAGTTTAGATTATTGAGGATCAAAGATTTAAAATAAAGTGGCAGCATTTTGCTGATGTCAAAATCGTAAGCTTGCTGTACTTCTATCTCTTACAACCACTGGAGAGGAGGTATTGAGACAGGGCGGTTGGAACTTAATGGAGACGCATTCGTCCGAGGCCAAACTGAGCCGAACCGTAGACCATAGAGGTGGAGAAGGGGCTTAAAGGGGCAATATCATGTAAAATCAACTTTTTTGAGTTTATATCATGTTATAATGTTATACTCTCATAAAAAACATGCCCAAAGCCTTGCTTTGACTCATTCATGCATGTTTGAGAAATCCTGCAGTGTTTTTAGGCAGCCATGCTGAGGAGCAAAACGACAGGTGGGGACCAGAAACGCCCCTGGGACGTGTCTTTAAGCCGAACTTCCTCATCACGGAGCACACCTCCCCACCCCCCGCCCATGACTCCTGCAGGCTCTCAAACAACGGGTGAAACTGAAAGTGAAACTGAAACTGTCTGCTGAGCTCCACTACTTCTCACTCAGTGAAGCTCTTTTCAGATTCAAAAGACCTTTGAGGAAATGTATTTTCAGATGCCAAGTAAACTGCATCAAAGCACCACCACCACCACACACACACACACACACACACACACACACTGAAAAGGGCGGGACAGAAGCGGAAGGTGGCTCTTAAAGAGACAGTGGCCAGTTTCAAGGCGTTTAGAAGAGGAAGTGATGAGAAGATAAGTTTATTTTCTATTTAAACATAAAAACAGCATTTTAATGACAACTAAAGGTGACATAGATAYTTTATTATGGTATAGTATTTAAATGTACGCCTGAGAGACACATAATATTGCCCCTTTAAGTGCACACAAACAGTGTGACATTGTTCTGAAATGTTGCAGGTTTGGTTTACTGTTTGATTATCCAGTATCRTGTTGCACACAGTCTGTTGGTTTGATGCTGGATAAATAAATCACACAGAGCGGCGATCAGAACATGTTCAGACTTGGCACTGAAACTAGCTGTGGGAAAGAAACTKAATCTTTGTTCTGGTCTTAATTGACCCCTAGTGCTTCCTGGGGTGCAGCAGTCCAGGGAACAGGAGTCATATGGTACTTTTCTTGAATTAAAAGTRAATCTTCAGCTCATCTTACCATGTTTGATGAACGCTTCCATTCAGAAGAGATTTGTTGCTTAAACTAAACACTAAAATAACAAAATGTGCAAAAGTATGAGCGGTTTTGGGCTTGATGTACCCATGTGAGACTGTATTGTCCTGCCTCGTCTGCAGACACAAGGCACAGTGACTGCTGTGCAGCTGCAAACGGAGGCGCCCGGCCAGCAGGTGCAGACACTCCAGGTAGTGGTGTCACCTCCGCCTTGTGTCCCTGCCGCTACAGTTTAATAGCCTCCCAGTTTGCATGCTACACTCAGGTCTGTTGTCATGACCCATCTGTGCTGTTGGTTCATTGTCTCTCTTCCTAAACGCCGCCTGTATGCTGCATGTTCCTGAGCACAGCGTGTTCGTGTCCAAGCCTCGGGTTTATGCTTGTGCTCTTATGGCTGTAACAGAAATATCTGCGTTGCTTTTGTCTCTGGCTTTGAAAGGCAAGTTCAGCACATCAGAAATTCTTGTTTTTAAAAGGCTAAAAGAAGCATGAATCATGTGGCCTGCTATGGGTTTAACTTTAAAGGATGTAACCACTTACTGCTGGCAGTCACGTTGCATTTTTCAGCTAAATCATTTTTTTTTATTTTCTCCATTTTTGCATAAAGTCAGCCATTTGTCTGCGTGATACATTCTTTTATGCAAGAAATGGTAACGTTGTTGCTTTTACACAGATAACTTTGAATTTAACCTTTTACTTCAGCAGCAAACATTCTATTAAAGCTAAGTAATGTATTTGTTGTATTAAAAATGGGTAAGATTATACACTCTTGCTCCAATATCAAAATATACCAGTTGGTTTAATGGTGACCTGGATGTTTGTGAGTTGACTTGCATGCAGCCCTGTCAGTSACATGTCGGTGATATCGAGGCAAGCCATGTCCGTGCTGCTATAACAGCTCTGTTCACCTGTCGGCAGGTCCAGGGACAGCCCCTGATGGTACAGGTGAGCGGTGGGCAGCTCATCACATCCTCAGGGCAGCCCATCATGGTGCAGGCCATGTCGGGGGGTCAGGGTCAGACCATAATGCAGGTTCCTGTGTCTGGAGCTCAAGGACTACAGCAGGTAAAATCCGCAGGAAGAGCCAGTTTCTGTACATCTTACTGTTAACTGCTTGTATGACAGTGTAATAAATACTGGCTGAGTGTAGTCACTGGGATATTTGAATGAGTTCATTGTTGTAGTGACTGGTAGCTGAAAGTGGGATTGTTTTTATGTGTAGATCCAGCTGGTGCAGCCGGGTCAGATCCAGCTGCAAGGAGGGCAGACTCTCCAGCTCCAGGGTCAGCAGGGTCAGCCTCAGCAAATCATCATCCAGCAGCCTCAGACCGCCATCACTGCTGGACAGAACCAGGTACTGAATTCCTGCAGTCAAATCTGAATAATATGTAGAATGATTTAATGTTCTTTAGTATCACAGTGTATGGTGAGGATGTCTGTCTCCTCATACCAATAATAAACCTAATTCAAAATTATTTGTTAGTTTTATGCTGTAGCCCATAGATCATACTTTGTAAAGTTTTCAGCACTGAAGACAAAATGTCATTTCTAAAATGATGACAAATGCATGCATTTTAAAAGGGAATTAGAATTTGTTTTTAATTTTCTGCAAAACAATAAGAGTGGGTACGAAATGACTTTGAAATTTGCTGAAACAAATGCATAAAAACATATATACAAAACTATACATAAGAGGACATTAAAAAGAGCAAAAGGGCACACAAGAAGACCAAATAAATACCAAAAAGACTCATAAGGAGACTTTCAGAGCAWGTGAATGCAGCATTCACATTCTGTCTGAGCTAGGCTAACATTAGCATATTATTGGTGCTGGTACAACATTAGATTTACTTTGGATTAGTTTATTGATACTGTGTCGTGATGACTGAAAAAGAGAATTGCTGAGTTTATGACTTGTTATTTTTTTCATGTTAAACAGGGACAGCAGATCAGCGTTCAGGGCCAACAGGTCGCTCAGACGGCAGATGGACAAACTATCGTCTACCAGCCTGTGAACGCAGATGGCTCTGTCCTGCAACAGGGTCTGTTCTTTTTTAACTTTTCATTTTTTTCATCCTGTTATGTAGATCACCATAAACATAAAAACATGGTGTTGAGTTGTCAACTCTGAATGAGTTCTGTTGTCCGCACACAGGAATGATCACGATTCCTGCTGCCAGCTTGGCAGGTGCTCAGATCGTACAGGCAGGGAACGCCAGCACCAACACCAGCAGCAGCGGCCAAGGCACTGTGACCGTCACCCTGCCTGTCTCCGGCAACATGGTCAATGCAGGTGGAATGGTCATGGTAAGACCCTGTGCTGAGGTACAAGCATTTCATCTTTTCTTTTCTTTTTGTTCCTTTCTGAATTTAGACCGACACGATGGGGTGTGGAGGATCACACAGTCTTTTGTTTTTGTTTGATCAACATTATCGTTAATTTTCAGTTTAATTAAGTATGTTTGTCATTTCTCACAAAGTTTATGTGGATTGAGAATGTTTTTTTATTTATTATTCAAAACAACCCAACATTTAGAATTTTTATCATTCTGAAAATTTCAGTGCTTCTGAAATTACACAGCTCTTAAAAAAGAAAAAAATGAGCAAATCATTATTAATATCATGTTTCTCTCAATACCTCTAAAAGTTAAATGTTACCAACACCTGAATCCACCTCTGAGGCTTGTGTTGGTTCTCAAAAATGGACATGATTCAGTTCCTAATCAACAGACCTCTCAGAATCAGCCAGCTATTGAATCTAAGTTGTTGCATTAAAAACATTTTTATGGTAGCACATGACGGAATAGTTGTAGTGTTACATCGTAGAGCAAAGTCATTTACATTCTCATGCTTCTTTGTTAGGATTTTTTTATTTAACACACTAAAGGTGTTAAGCACCACATGCCTGTTTGTGTCACGTCTTCTATCAGATGGTGCCTGGAGGAGGCGGAGTTCCAACAATGCAGCGTATCCCCCTGCCAGGGGCCGAAATGCTCGAGGAGGAGCCCCTGTACGTCAACGCTAAACAGTACCACCGCATCCTGAAGAGGAGACAGGCCCGAGCCAAGCTGGAGGCTGAAGGCAAGATTCCTAAAGAAAGGAGGGTATGTCACCTTTGTTGTACCTGATCACACACTTWGTTAAAGTTTGTCAGGCCTTTTCTTTTGGCAAGTTCAAAATTGGGTTGAAGTTCTGTGGCGATGGAGAGACAATGAGAGCGGGAGAAAATAACCCAACACACCACAAACCATACACCTCCTATGCCCCGCCCTTTTCTGCCCTGTCCTGGTAATACGCTATATCGTGGTATYATCTAAAGATTTGAAAAAGATCAATACTGCCCAATGCTTCTGTTTTTTTTAAGTACTTTAATTTGTTTTAAGAGAAGAGCCTTAAAGAAACCTGGATTTAAAAAATGTAGAGAGAGACAAAGTTCTGCAGAAACATGTGTGCGCATTTTTTTATTCTAAAATAGAAATTTAAACTTGTGATGGAGTATTCTGTGGACATTTTAAGAAAAATGACTTAATCTTTAATGCTAACATCAAAATATCAGTCAAAATAGGCAAAATGTATGTTTCTTACTAGAACCTTTTGCACAGGTGTAACATAAATAACCTCTAAATATTCATCGTTCACTATAAAAAGTACCACATCATTTGTAAGAAATGAGCCAAATGTGAGGAGYCATGGCTTGTTGCCAACAGTTACAAGTTAGTTGTTTACATTTGACAAGTAGACTTTAGACAGTATCACATAGCTAATGAGTCGGTAAAATCCTCATATGTAAATGGAGACGACGGGACATTAATGGAATCAGAGAGTCCAGGTTAAAAGCAAAAAGTTAAATTTYTTCTGTTTGAATCTGAAGATCAGAGATGACTAAAAGCAGTAAGAGACAGACGTAGTAGTAATTCAAATAGTCATTTAAATCAGAGAAAAAAATCTGTTTTCTAATGTACAAAAACCTTAGAGTTTAAGTTACATTAATCCCCAAACAATCATTTATTGATGTAGAAGTTGTAAGAAATAACAATTTTTTTAAAATGTTTTTATTTATTTATTCATTTCATTAAAAACAAATAAAACATTTCACACAATAAAACAGTACAAATAAAACAAAATGAAAGGCAGCAGAAGAATAAAAAATTCTTACAATTCAAATCAAAAACATAGAAAAATGTGTATTTTGACAACTATTGTGGCTTTAAATCTGCAGTGGACAAACACGTTTTCTCTCTGGCAGAAATACCTACACGAGTCTCGCCACCGTCATGCGATGCAGCGTAAGAGAGGGGACGGAGGTCGATTTTTTTCTCCTAAAGAAAAGGAAGAAATTTTGGCCCTAGCACAAGTAAGGCGCTGAGCTGGAACAAGGATTTCAAGTCTCCAAGTATAAAAATATAGATTTAAACGAATATGTTGTATTCTAAGTTTTTTAAATATTTTTTAAAATTTGTTGTTTGTGCTCTTGGTGCAGCAGCAGGAAGTTGGCCAGACGGCGTCGGAGGAAACAGTGACTCAGATGATCCGAGTCTCGTAGCACTGTCGGCAACACTGTGACTTTAATCGGAACTCTGCCCTGACTGAGACTCTTCATGCCAGCTAACCGTCTGACAAACTCATCTATAGTCCTGTCTGCCTCCATAGACCCAACAGTTATTTTACTGTTTTTTTTCCTCTCGTTGGTCTTTCAGAGAGCTGGCTGAGTCATCACAGAGCCAGTGGACTCCTCTGGTCTTCTTCATTTAGAGGGGCAACGTTATCGTGCTATACTTACCTGGTTGAATAGAAAGAAACCCCAGCAATGTTTACTTTTTTTTTTGTTTGGACTAAAAAGAAACGTGGATTTATTGGCAACCAGTCACACAGAGGGAATGATGCTCCTGAAGCCATCCTCTGGTAAAAATGTGAATGGTACCAATTTTCTAAAAACATTTGATGGTTTACACTTCGCTGTTGTTCTGTGTGATTTAAAGGATTCCCTTCATATGAAAATGTAATTATTTAAAACYGAATACGTTGTGTATTTCCCTGAATCCCAGCCTTCATCCACTGAGCAAAAACTGAGTTATTTGAAAATGTTGAAGTGGATACGTACCAGCTCTGTGAATGCATTTTATACAGTTTATAGTTGGACAAAGTGTTTTTTTTGCCTAAAAAATATAAAAAAGGCATTGCATCAAATTAGACACTATATTCATGAACAGTAGATGATTTTTCATCAAGTCATCTAGGTGTTTTTTTCCTACCTTGTAGTTAATTAAATAGGGTTTTTTAAAATCCATCAGATGCAGTTAATGTTATTTTTATAATGTTAAGTGGGTTGAAATTGTTTTCATGAAACGTTAATAAATTTTTAGTAAGTTACACAAAGTTAGTTGTGGCTTTACTTAAAGTAAAGACTATCGTGTGATTTCCTTGTTAAACTTAACAGTTTTTATTAAAGTGTTTAAGAAAGGAAGTGGTGACATTTTACGYCATGTTTTAAAACAAGACATTTCGACATTGGTTCCAGATTTCTCAGTCGTTTTTCATGCTGTTGAAACCTAAAAATAAATATTTAGTGTAAAATGCTACAGAAAAGTACTGGTCAAATTAATGTTATCATCCAAACAACTGACTACACAAACGTTACTCTCAAGAGCAAAAAACATAGTATGTGTAAAATAAATACTTAGCTAGCTTTCAACTGACTTCTTAAATCTATGCAAATTAACTGCTCTTTAATGGCCAAACTTGGCTTCTTTGACAAAGTCTGGCTCAAAGTCAATGGAGCTAATTTTTGAAGCCATGGGAGGAAAAAAAACAACTCAGGTAATTTTATGCATTCAGGTTATTTGCTTATACATATGAATTACTTTTTAACAATTTATTCTGCCCTACACTATTAAAGCAGCGTCCTCTAGTGACAACAGCGGTAATAGCAACAGAACACAATGCATTCACTGTCTAACGCAACATTATGGGAAAATATAGGGAGAATTTAACACTGAAGGACAAAAAACAAAGGATTGTCCCAGAGCAGTCCCTTCAGGTATATCATTATCACAAGCTCTGCCAATCAGAAGCCGAGAAATGGTAGCGCATCCAACCAATCATATCTTAGGATGGGCGGGGCTTGTTTTCAGCCTCCTTGGCAGCGCTAATGGCATTCTACGCCTGCGCAAATTAATAAGTACCGAAAATTACAAGGAACTACCCTTTTTACAGGTAACGAGTACGCTTTGGCCGTTCCTCCTTTCAGTCCACCGGTCGGCGCWGACTGGTTGATTCCACCTACATACCGCCTCTGTCCTCAGGTGACAGTCCCAACTAAACCGCCCCCTTCCCAGAGATGCTTCGGCCGAAGAGCAGCAGCAGCAGGACCGAAACGACAGCTTGAACCGCTCTTTTCTCTGACGGAGAAAAACAGAAGCCATAACCCGGTTCCGAAGGTAGCTCAGTTGCTTCCGCTAATTTTGACTCCTCAAAAGCCAGAGAGCTCGAATACGACGAGCAGCGCCAGTCAGAACTCCACTTTCTTCACCTTCAGGATCACTTTGAATGGATGCGATGACGGACTCGGCGGTGGACGGMATGACGACGGAGGTCAAGCAAGGCACCAAATATGTGAAAGAGACGGAGAACGTCGCGGAGAAATATTCGGCGCTGACAGTCAGCAAGAACAGCAGCGACGTGAACATGAACGTCGGCGAGATGCCCTCTGCGGCGTTCACCGCAGTCCCGACGCTGAAATCCGTGAAGAAGGTAAGGAACGTGATGCCCGCCATCACTCACTGCCATTGGGCAGAGATCAGGCAGGCGGCCGGTCACATGTGAGGCGGATAAAACTCACGTTGGTGCGCAGAACTGGGCTGCAGTGGACTGATACAGGACACCGAGGCAGGTTAAAATTAAACCTCCATACATACAACTGCAAGTTTCTGGTATTTCAGCATTAATACCGAGTATACTGTGACACAACTGGTTTATTGATAAGATCTTTATTTTTACTCAGCCTTCCTGTTTGTATCTGATGCAGTAATAGAAGCAACATCATGTACTCAGAAAATATGTATAAATTAAATTTATTAAAGGCCCCAGTCCAAGTGGATGGATTAACATAACTGAGTTTACATGAAGGGTGGGTGAGGTAGGGTCTGCACACTAAGTATGTGGGACTTAATATAATATGTTTGAGGGAAAACAAATGAAACTCAACATAACTATAGATTTTCTCCAAAGACACTTGTTTGACTTCAAAATGTACAATAAACTTAGTCCATGTTTRCAGTGTTAGTTTATGGCAGTGTTTAGATGTGCATGTGTGTGGGCATTTCCAGTTAGGACAAAGAACAGCCTTTAAAGAAAGGGACTGAACACCTGTGGGAAAAGACCTTGAATTCTTGTTCTACAATGACATTAGACTAACAGACCCTCCTCAGGTGTCTGTTCAGATTACAGACCCACCACTGAGTGAGGCAGCTGGGAACAGGCAGTGGATCAACACCAGTTCAAACATGTCATTTGTGTTTCTCACAGTTTACACTGTGAAGGAAATGCGACATCTTTTTTTGAAACTACATTTTATTGTCTTTGCAAACTCTTATATTTTCTTTGTCCATCAGGTTTTTCTTGTCAACTGGTGGCTCCTGGGCCATTTTCAGCCTGTGAGCTCATTCCAACTGGCCCACAGTTATAAATCAAAAAGCCTATCTATCCTTAAAGAAACTCATTTTGTTTGCTGCCTTTCATAGCAGAGTTTTAAGCTAAGATTATCTTAAGTTTAGACATGATGGAGTTGTAGCTGTTTTGGTCAAGCTTTGAAAAAAAAAAAAAGATGTGCAATTTCATGTGGTGTCACAGAAGTAAATGTTGTGAATGACACCCAGTTACTGTCACATCAATTTTTAGCTAAATATCTGTAAAACTGACCAAAATACAGCTGTTTTTCTGTTAAGGTAAGATGGCTGTGGGGGGGCATTTTAAATTAGATTAGCTCCAGAAGTTAATCAGTTGTCGATGTTCATCCAGTGATTGGTTTCCTAAAGTTTAACCAAAATATGATTATTTGTTCATGAGATATTTTGCTAACAGACACAGTTGACTCCAAATAGTTTATTTCAAATATTGAAGCCAAGATCTTCTATTATTGTTTTAGTGCTTAAGGGGATCATTATCAGTTACTGCCACACCCAATTTCATGTTAGTGTCTATTTGCTATGGCAGCCAATCTTGATTTAAGTTTACTCCAAACATTAGTCAGCTGTTCATCTAATGATTAATTTCTGAGCATTTCATAGAAATGTGCCCAGTGGTTCTGATTCATGAGATATTTTGGTTAAAGACAAACACCCACACACACCCAGACGTTTGTCCTTCTGTCCTCTCGGGGACTTTGCATTGACTTCCATTCATTTTCCAGTCACTTGTAAAGCTTCTACTCTACACCTAACTGCCCTCTAAACCTTACCGACACTCATTTCACACCTAGTCCTGATCCTGACCCCTGACCCACCATTACTAGTCTATTCCTAACCTTAACCAAAACTTAATTTACACCATACCTCTAACCTTCACTAGTAGCTCACAGCAGAACTGAAAAGAAAGCGGGGAAAAAAGTGAGGATCAGGAAAATGTCCTAACGTTCCAAAAATGACCTCATTTTGTTGGGTAAAAACACGACTGTCCTCACTCTGTCTCAGGCACAAGTACACACGCTCGTGCAAACACTAGTAAAACATTGGGCCTCATGCAAGAACATGTTCGTATTCTTATCCTAAATTTCTCTTACTTTTGTTCATACGAACATGTCACGTCAGATTCAACAAACTCTTCTATCTTCAGGAAAAGTGTGTAAATGAGCTGCGTAATTTCCACCTGTTCGTATCCAGCTGCTCGTGCACGAGGGGAGGTTATTTACATAATTACCACCCCAAAAAAACCATATAAGGCTATGGCTGTGTCCAAAACGACAGGCCGGGTCCTCCGGAGGACCCAGACTTCCCGGTTGCGGCGGGCCGGGTCCTTGGTAGACCAGGAAGACCGGAAAAAAAGAGGCTGTGAATTTGGACGGTCTAGCCGCCCCTCCTTACCCCGGCGTAAGTCATGTCACCTATCAACTGTGATGACGCTAAACAAGCAAACTTAAATCAAAACTAGAAAAWTATCAATACATTAGCATTATTAATATCACAAAACTATAAAATTAACTTAAAAGTATCATTTGAAGAACTAACTGACCCGCTGTAGGTTCATGTTTATTTCGCGTTTTTTATGACGAAAAAATAATATTTAAAAACATGTCCATACAAATGATAAAAGTATTAGAAATTACAACCGCTAATTTTTTAAATTTTTATATCACCATATTTTTATTTAAAATGTATTCTTTTCTCTCGCTTCGTCCACCATTACTAGCATAAAAAAATCTCCGGTCGGGCCGCAATGCATTATGGGATATGCTGGGCCGGGAAGGATCCATCAGACCTGTCCTTCGATTCGGGCCAAAGGAAGGACGTATGCACGGAGGAGTCTTCGGTTTTGGAAGTCCTTCGTTGCGGCGCTGTGACGTATGCGGCCGACAAATTCGACCTTCGGAGAACCCGTCCTGCCGTTTTGGACACAGCCTATGTTTCCTGCCCCACATACCAGGAAGTGTCCATTCATAAATGACATCGCAAAGTAAAAAAGAAGAACTTTACGAGTTCGGAGATTGTAGTCCTGCTCTCCGAGATTGAGAAAAAAAAAATTGTTCTCTTTAGCAGCGTCATGTGGAATTAAAGGAGCTGCTTAAAGGAATGAAATGCGCTGTTAATGTGTCTCCTGTTGGTCGTTACAGTCACAGAAATAAAAATATAAATCATATTCATCTCTCTCTAATCCAGCTCCAGTTTTTCTTTGGTCAAATATTTTTTAACTTAAGTGTAAACAAACTGTGTTACTGTGTTTACATTTATTCAGAAGAAGGGTGATTGCGCACAGCTACCACTCCCCACCCACCCAGACCGGCCATCTCCCCACTCCATGCGGTCGCAAGTGACAGATGCGGTTCTGAAAAGACGCATTTTAAAACGTCTCCAAACTTCAGTTAATGCGTAATTTAAGTTGTTTTTTAGTTTGAGATCTTCATATTAATATTGTAGTGTTATACAACAGCATTAAAAGACAATTTAATCTAATCAATTTATGTCGTTAAAATCTGTTCGGTTTTTTTTAACCTAGAACTCAGAAAAAACACAGCAACCCCCCGAACATTAAATCAATGACAACAGAGGCAAGTGAGATTTTTTAAGATTCACTTTGCAAAGAGGAGAAGTTCTCGTTACTTAACTTTTGCTCGAAAGCTCAGCAAGTCCAGAGAAGTTCTGACCTCCGTGGSCGTGATCAGTYYTTTTATTAAAATACGTAAATGTTGCGTCACAAGTAAAACAGCGAATCAACACATCATTTGCTGGAGTATATCAAAAACACAGAAGCCAATGAAAACACTGTTGCTGGGGTTACGTTATTTAAGGAGGAACAATGAACACTTGTTTTTTGCACCTGAGAGTGGAAATTTACAAGAATGTGGAGAAATGATGGTTTCGATCATTAATTATAACCTAATCTCACAGAAACTGCTTCACAAGCAGTCTCATGGCAGCCAAACTAACCTTATCTTACAGAAAGGCCTTGAGAGCATTTTCCCATCCGTTTGCTTGACATGTTCCTGTTGAAAACACATCTTGAACTAAACATTTGTAACGTACTAAAAACTTTATTTGATACACACACAATGAACTTTAATGAAATGTAATAAAGAAAAACCCTTTCAAAATCTAATTCCAGTTCAAACAGAATAACCTACTGCCAACATAATTATGGAGTGTGATTTATTTTCAACTCGAAATATTTTCTAAATAACGAAATATAAAGTTATTAGTGAAGAAAACCCGTCTGGATAACAGCAGACTGACTGCTTGTAAAATATACGACAGGTCTGGACCACTCGTGAATTTTGTTCGTATCTGAAAAAAATCTTAGAATACGAAAACATTGGTGAATGCCACAAATTCTCCTAAATCACTCGTACGCACAACTTAAGAACAAATCTGTGCATACGAACAGTTCTTGCATGAGGCCCATTATTCCACCATCACCTTTCAGCTCTGAGTGATTATTACACACAGTCTAATACAGAAATTAGTCATCCAGCTTTAAAAGCGTACATGACAGGTGCCTTAGCCAATCAGAGGGCTTGCTCATGCAGCATGATCATGTTTGTAAACAGTCCATTAATGTAGTTGTGCCACATTGTTGACACAGTAGGTTAGTGGAAATGAAAAGGACCCATATCCTGAGATTATCCTCCTACATAGATGATTTATTCTGCCAGTGTCAGCAAAACAAGGAAACTATAGAACAATTCATTTTGCTCAGTTTTAGTTTAGTTTAATGCTCATTGGGGTATCCAGTAAACTTATTTCACATGATTCTAATTAATCATTCCTAGGTGTGAGTATGAGTGAATGGTTGTTTGTCTCTGTGTTCCTGTGATGGACTTTCGACCCGTCCAGAGTGTCCCCCCCGCCCCTCGTACAGCGACTGCTGGAGACAGATACCAGCTCCCCTGTGACCCGGAAAGGAGAAGCGGCTACAGAAAATGGATGAATTTAATTAGCACTTATTCATATTTATTAATTTATCTCTCCACAATTAACTTCTTGGTGCAGCTTTTCAGAAGTCACAACAGGAACTTCTTTATTAAAAAGTGGAAAATAATTTAA